TTTGCAATGTAATTCCCGATACATGTATGTCTTTAGTTTGGCCAAAACTCTTTTTAAAAAAATAATCCAAAATTGTCTTTAATTCAGTCACAAAAAAGAGAAGTTAGAATTCTCCCTTAGGTAGGATTCCCATGCAAACGGGAATTGTTTTACCTCTTGAACTCTCCCACGAGTTCTTTTCTTCCTAAGATGCATTCTTGGTCTTCTTCTAGGACTTTTCTTTTTAGCCATAAGTAGTCTTCTTTTTAGAATAGAGTTATTCAAGAAATTCAAAAGAAAAAACGATTTTGAAATTAGACTTTCTATGGGGAAGAGATTCTTATGCCAGCAGGACTCTTTTGTCCTTATCACGTTCGACATGTGTGTAATTCACATAAGACCATGCATGTGAGGTGTGTGAGCCATGTCGCGTGGACCATGAGGTCAGGTGAGCTGAAACTCACTTTCCTTTAGGCTAAAACTTGGCCTGAAAATCCCCAAGCCTGTGGGATTTTAAGTGGGCTTCAAGCTCTCTTCTTTGATCCATCTTGGGCTTTTCTTGGTATTGGATGGTTGAGAGAAGTTTCTTAGGCCGACTTTACTCTAAAATTCAAGGTGGAACTTGGAAAAGTACTTGGGGAATAGGAATCTCCCTTATTGTAGACAAAATCTCTTTCCCACAGCTCCTGTATGCGCGCGCGACTACGCTAGCATGTTGTGCACGCGCATATGCGCTTATGGGGTAGCCTACGTACACATGAACTTCCTGGCTGTGTGCGTGATATCCCCTTCTCGTGAGGCTTCTTGCGCACGGGTAATGATTGTATGGGCTTCCTTTTTCTTGTGGGATTCCAACTTCTCGCAAGAATCCGGTGTCTCGCAGGTTCTCTTCTTCCCGTGGTTGCTGCTAGCTTGTGGGATGTGTTTTGGGTCTTCATGACTTCTTTTAGCCTACCCATGCTTACATCAATCACACACATGAATTTTATGAAAAAAGAATCTTCCTCTATTATTTACAAATTACATCATCTTGATGATGAGACATGCATATATAATATAATAAGGGAATGGGGATCACGAGAGCAAACATATTAAATTAAAACAATAATAATTGGTGGCGAATGGGGATGGAATGTGATGCTTCTCTCTCCCTCTCTCTTCTTTACTAGTGACATTTGTTTATTACTATAAATGGTCATTGTTAATGGTCATTGCTAATTGTTTCTTACCAACAGATTGGGAACTACTCGTGAAGGTAACTTACTCAGTTAGGAGGCATGTAGTTTTTGTAGAAGCACTGGATGAACTTAGGAATATGAGTTTTCTTTTATTTGAGGTGAAAATAAATCTTTTAAGTAGGCAAATAAATGTTTTACTTTCGCGACGGTTTAAAGAGGTGTCGCAAAAAACGTTGCAAAGCATGCACCCAAATTGAATATCATTGCTACAAATTCTTTTATTTTTTAATGCTAGCGACGTGTACAAGTTCAAAAAGGCAATCAACTTAAACTAATGGTAAATAGACTATTTTGTAGTAATGCAACCAATACTAGACAAAAATATATTTTTTCAACTTGTTAATCTCGATTCGACTTTGTCAAAGATCGGTCTCCAAGTTTGGACTAACAATGGCTACATTCCTAGTGGAATCCTATCTTAATCAATAACAATTATATATCTATAAAATAAAAAACTATACACATATTTTATTTAAATAATATAAATTAAAATTTAATTTAAGATTATATCTTTTTGTGAAAAAACCATGAAGGTTGCAGTGGTGTAACAAATTGACACTATATACAGAAACTTATTGTACATTTTCTTTTAACTTTATAAAACTAATTGTCATACATTTTTCTTTGAAATTTCCGTAGAAGGTAGTGAAAAGAATATAAATAGATTTAATTAACGATCCTCAAATATTAAAGATACATGCATAATTTGCCCAAAAATAAAATGTAATAGGAAGAACAATCATTACTTTCACTTCTCATTACACATTTTAATTGCACAAAGAATATGACAAGTCAATATCTGAGAGTCCTCATAATATTGTTAAATAATATACTTATTATTTAACTATAACGTCCCCCATCATCCCCAACACGAAAGATAGCAATTATTAACCATCTTAATTATTCCTTCATAAAACTAAAAAATTTATTCTTTGTGACAGAATGGGAACTTCACGTATAACAATTGTTATCTTTACATATAACAATTAGATATGCAAATAAAAAAAAAAAAAAATTAAATTAGAGGCCAGAGGTGAAGGGAACATTGGTGGCCGGCAACCAAGAGTTACCGGCGATGAAATTACCAACAGTGAACTTGGAAGCCTCAGATGAAGAAGTAATGACACGGTAACCCGGCCACTTGACCCGGTTCGAGGTTGAAGATCCAGGACCCGTGTTCATATACTCTCCATAAAACAATGTCTTAAGTGCAAAGTCACCGCTCCATTCAAGCCAGCCTGCCGGTTGTATCAAATCATCAAGAAAAGTTTTCATGAAAACAGTTCTTGAATACTCTTTCCATGGACGGCCCAGATATGTCTTGACAGAGCTCAGAACGGGTTTCAAGTCGGAAGCAGCGGTGACCCTGCAGTTGTGGATGATGATGCCGGTGTTCTGGTTCGGATCGGATCGGCCCTGGGCGGTGATGGTGTTGGTCTTGTTGCGTGGTTTGCGGGGGAAGATGTTGCAGTTTTGGAGAACGACGGCGGCATTGCCGAAGATGAAATCGACAGTGCCATATATGTCGCAATCTCTATAGAATTGGCGATCGGAGTGGACATAGAGGGTGTCTTGGTAGCCTTCGAAGCTGCACCTGTAGAAGACGGAGAAGTCGGAGCCGGAGCGCAGCGCCACTGCTTGGCCGTTTTCTGGACCGGCAGTGTTTTGAAATGTTATGTCACGAGCGATGAAGCCATCTCCAACAACAGCTGTAATTAATAACAAATTAAATTAGAAATTATTATAGATACATGATTTAAAGTACTAAATAATAAATTATTTAGAATGACATAATGAATTAATTAACAAATGACTCTATATGGGTTTTGGTAATTATAACTATAAGTTAATTTTCACGACTTAAAATAACCTAAAAAATATATATGTATGTATATAGTCATGGAGTTGAACTGATCAAAATATATTGCTATCAATGAGTTATTAAATTATCTATGGAAATTAATTAGAAAGTTTGATTAATCTTAAACCGGACCTACCTACGTACCATTAAACCAAAGCTTTTCCAAGTTTACAACTAATTAACTGACTGAGTTTGGAGGGCACATCTTCAACAAATGTTTAATTTTAATATTTACTTTTCTTGATAAAGACTTTACTTATATATATATATATATATATATAAATATAATATGAATATATCGTAAGCCCTTAAACCCCACTTAGAAGAAAGTCAATATACATATATATACATATATGTATATATTATAATTAGCTTGAGAAATTTTTGCTCAATCCAGCTTATTGTTCAGGTACTTGTTTCTGTTGCGTCAATAGGATTTAGATAATAATTAAAACGAAATAAAACTAAACATCGAAAACAATTAATTAACTAATTAATACAAAAATTAACTAAATTGTGAAGACGTCAAAATCATTTCATGTATGAACACTTTCCTCGAACGAAAAAAACTTTGGACAATTCCTCATTGACGAAGTGTTTGGTTGCAAATAGCAAGAATTAAACTTATTTTTATTTCATCAAACTGCTGAAGAAAAAATAAACATAAATAATATCTAAGCATAATAATAATTTAATAATCATTAAAAATGATAATTTGATCAGCTTCAGTTAGATTTTTTAAGCGGGGCATAGTTCTAAATTTGTATTTATCAAAATTCTCAGAGAATTCACCCGCTAGCCCCTCCTTTAAGGTAAAAATAACTCATTATATATGATAAATATAATTGCTTTAAAAGAACTTAAAAATTATGAAATAATTACTATTATATTTTCAAATTAATTAAGAAGAGGCAATTAAAATGGAAGCTTTTACTTTTCTTTCAGACTAAAAAAATCTGAGTAAATAGAAATTTCCGCCCAAAAGCTGCATGGTGCATGACTTTGAAAAATCTTTAGATATTCCAAAGCTCAACTAAGTTAGCAAATTCTGTAAATGACATTTTGTAAAATATTCAAAATTAAACAACTTAATAGTTACTAGTTTGAGCCAGAAATTGATACTGAAACAAGATCTATTGTTTGAAAACATATCTAAATCATTGGAATCAGTGATCTTGCATATAATGAAAGAGGATTATGTATAGTATATGTATATATATATATATATATATATTATTTATTTATATGTAGTAAATGTTGTGCTTACCCACGGTGGCTGAATTGAAGGTTGTACTTCCGCCGCCAACACTCTTGCTCCCTGTGATAATAGTCTTGCCAATACCATCACCCACCAACATAATATTCTTCAACTTGCTTCCAAACTCAACATTTTCCTTGTAAGTCCCTTGTTTCACATATATCACATATCTACTGCTTCCCGATCGCTTCGACGCAATTGTAACCGCCTCCTTTATTGTCGTCACGTCCCCCGAGCCATCTTTCGCCACCACAATGTTTGCCTGAGATGCAGCAGACGAAGACTGCAGCAGCTTCCTGTCACCGGGCTTCACCCATGTTGGGAACCCATCTTTGGGTGGCGGAGGAGCATAGGGTGCCTTGTTAATGGCCAAAGCGTTGCTAATCAACATGGACACGTTGTTTGACATTAAGGGTAAAAGATAATCAGGTACACCGAGCTCCATAAACCCAGCTCGGCAGGTATCGAGATTGGTTAGAGCTGTGCTGAGCCATGTTTGGATATCAACTTCAGTGCACTTGGTGGTAGGGTCGAGTGTTTTGGTGAGCTTGAGGATGGTGTAGTCATAGAGCTTAAGGCAATCAGCCCATGCAGCCTTCTCACGCTCATTTCGGCACTTTGAGCCGAGGGAGAAGGTGTGGTTATGGGCTCGCAAGGCGCGCTGAAGTGCGAGCCGCATGGAGATTTTAAGGAAGTCGGGATCGGTTACTATGGCCGTATGGCTTGGGTCGTGGGTCAAGAAATATTCACATGGTTGTGGATAAGGTGTTTTGCTGCACCATGAGGCTACTTCCTTGGGCAAGTAGCCATAGATGGTGGAACATAGGAAAAAAGGCACCAATACAAGTGTGATAAAAGTTCTTAGTGCCATGGATATATGTATATCTTTTGTACCGCTATACTAGATGATTGTGTGTTTCGAGTCTTGATTAATTGTTAGCTTTATATAGAATTTTGAGGATAGGGTTTGGTATATCAATGGAGACTAAAGATGAAATGGAGGTGTAGAACTTAATTTGATTATTCATTTTTAAATTTTAATGTCCAATTATCCAATTAATTGAACGTAAATGTTAATAATATATACATGTATGTACGCCTAATGCTCACATAATAATTTGGTAGGCATGTAGCAAAATTTAATTGGAATTAATTATTTGAACGAAATCTATGTATCATATATAATGTGTGTGTGTGTGTGTGCGTATGTGGCTGTATTTGTATATGTATTAGTTGGTAATTAATGGGTTTTTAATATATATTGACTTGAGAAGGAAGGAGGAGAAATGTTATGCCATTAAACCGCGTTGAAATTTTAATATTCATGCGAAAAGAATAATGATCAGAAAGTATTGGTTTGCATGAACTTAATTGGTTGAGCTTACTTCTTTATTCCAAGTTAATGACATGAACAACAGGGAAGAGGTGCTTTCAATCAATCTCTCAAGTCCAAAGTCAAGACTTACTGGTTCAACTAGTTGGTATTTTGTTAATTATGTAATTCAATTGGCAAAGCTGATGAAAACAGTGGGTTTGATCATTTACGTAATGTATTTATATTTGTAAACATTTGACTTGATCGTTTGATTAATTATAGTAATCACTTTAGATTTAATAAATAAAAATGTGATAATACATTAGTGTGTATTAACTCAATTATTTTTCTTTTTTACTGTTAAATTTTAGTCCTATGATTAAATTTTCAATATGCAAAAGGCCTGTGTAGAACTAAAGCTTCTTCTCAGTATTAATAACTAAAACCACAGTTATTAATCAATATTTTTTGTTGAATAGTTACTATTTTAGTCTATTTTCATGTGAGTATAAATTCCAATATATATATATATGTGTATGCATATACACAGTTATATTGTAGCTCAACTAATGTTTGGAATTGTAATTAGAATGCTGAAGGTAGGTGATATGGAGGAGGTATTTATGTTTGACTTGCCAACTGGAAGATTAAAAATGCTCAAGAGGTATTAATGAATTGATTATTGGACTATTTCAATTACCCTATCTTTGACGTTTATGCTAATAGCAGCCCTTCCAACTCCTTTCATACATATGATCATCTTCCTTTTTCTTTTTTTCCAGAAAGACTTCATATGATCGTCTGTATATGTATATAATATATTATATATGAAATTTTTTTTCTAACATATATTTTTACTATATGAATGTATATCATCTTTTTATTTTTATTTATGTACACTCGCAAAGCAGTAAAAATGGGGATCTGACACTTTTTTATATTTATCATACAATCTTTTTCAGCACAAAATTTGTATGTATGTACTTATGTTTAAGGGTTAGTTTTTTATTAAATGACAAAAAATTATATTTATCATTTAGTAGTAGTTTAGAAGATTTTGTAAATTATAGAATTAAATTAATACATGATTATTTTAAGAGTATTCATATATCATCAAATTATATTCAAAAAGCAAACTAAACCATTATGTTCCACTCGGATTAGATCAATACAAAGATATTTTAATTCGATCCTTATTTTAGGAGAGATAAAATTCGTAAAACTAACTCAATTAGATACAATTTAGAGGTGAACATATTAACATAATATATATATATATATGTATAAACCATCTCTAACCCTAATTTTAGGTTTGAAAAATCAAAACCAAAGCCAAAGAATAGAAGAGAAGCCAATTTCTCTGCACGTGACTCTATCTTTGCCTATTCCATGTGGTTAACAAGCAAATGCCCTAAACTCTTCCTCCTCCCCCTACTCGGTCACTGATTGTCGCGACTCCCCCATGGCCCACAATCTCTCAACACTATAGACTTCCACCTTTCCGATGTGAAACATGTTGGAACAATTTGATAAATAGAATTTGAAGGAAGAAACTTTCTGCAAATAAAGAACATAAAAATTGTAGAAAAACTTGTTGTTATCTGCTATATTATTGCAGAACTAAACTTGCCTTCATATAGGTTTACAACCAAACTAAAAATGCTAAAAATACTCACCCTAATCTCTAAAATTCTACCACTAACAACAAATTAACAGAAGCAGAAAAATATGAAAACTAATTGCATAAGATCAGGAAGATATCAATAAAAATTATTTAGCATAAAATCTATGAAATATCTGCAACATATTTTGATTAATTCTTGAATTAATCTTTAACACTCCCTCTTGATTCAAAATTACACACACCAAGAAGATTTCTGAAATCGATAAACTTTTATTTGGATAATGTCTTTGTGAGTATATCAGCTAATTCCTCGTTTGTGTTGCAATACTTCAAAATAATCTCCTCTTTAACAACCAAATCACGAATAAAATGGAACTGAATATCAATATGTTTTGGTCTGCTGTGAAAAGTTGGATTTTTTTGTCACAAAAATTGTTGCTTTGTTATCACAGAATCTCTGTTGCTCTTTCCTGCTTTTACTATAATTCTGCTAGCATTCTCTTAAACCAAATGGTCTGACAAGCTACTGAAGTGGCTGTTATATACTTAGCTTTTGAGGAAGATAA